CGTATTTCTTGGTAAAGAATTGTTGCAAGCATCAATTTTGAATAAATTAGCTTCAATATTTACTGATTTATCGAAGATTTTGTATTTCTCTAAATTACCGTTATATGGGATGTGGGCGTGGTTATCCTCCGATTTTAAAAAGTTTCGGCGATTTCTTATGCTGNAAAATTAACTGAAACTTTGCACATATATACATATGTATATTCTATGCATATAAATAAACATCATATATTTCAGAAAATTTAACTGCATTAATGACAATTTAGAGCCTAAGCACGCTGAAGATAATGAATTAATACGGCATTTATTTATTACCAAGGCCAAAAACTGTGCCAAGTTTGGAAGAAATTAGTGTAGCGGGTACCGAGATATACACAAGTAACCATAAGTGGGCGTGGCTACGCCCATTTTCCAAAAATTTACAACACTCTTAGTTTTCGTCGAAAAATTGTTGTAAATATTAATTTTGAGTGAATAATCTTCAGTAGTTACTAAAATATCGCAGTTACCGTTATGTGAACAAAATTAATATACCCTTGTGCACAAAATTCCGACAAATTGATAACCTTTTTAGAAGTCGGTTAAAAAAATTGTGAGTGAAATTATAGCAGAATGTTACTCATACGTCATGTATTTTATGTACATAGCCTTCTCGTACATCCATCTACATGGCGTATGAGTAACATTCTTTCATTTGATCGTTCAACTCTGTTTTGTTTATCTTTTAATTTCGTTAGTAAGTTGATTTATTTGTAAAATAAAAGGCTTTAATACAACAAAAAAATAAATTTTTCTCTGTTAAAGTTTGAAGTTTTTCAGCGAGATCTTCACCAAAGCCAGGGATCTAATAAGATACTTCGTTTTGCATTTTATTGGCATTTGGATTTGGAATCCACGTAAAAAGATAAACACATAATTAGCAACAAAAAGAACAACTTTATTGGCTCCTCTATATAAGTTAACATGGTCGGTTTTGTGCCTAACATATAATATACGGAACTATAAAATATATTAATATTGATAGAGTACGTATAAAAATCGAATACATACTACAACACATTGATATCAGGTGGATGGTTGCTTGCAAACATATTCACACACAAAATATGTTTGCGCCAACTCCCAGATGAACACGGCTCTTACCAGAAGTCGGTTAAGGCACACACATGTAAAATCGAAGTCGAGTGAAAATAAATTGCAATATAAAAAAAAAACTTTGATAGAAATAACTTTTAGTCATCATACCATATAATTGAGAACACAAGTTTCAACTACAATTCCCTTAAATAAACAAGAAAATAATAAATCCAATTATGATGCTGAGAGAAGAGGTGGAATAAATTTAATGAGAATTGCGGGAGAAACTTACGAATGTGCAGCGCAAAACCCTCATTAGGTATTTCAAACAGAACTTGGGAGAATGAACTCACTTTAGTTGAAATCTTAATTTCCATATTTTATGATTTTAATGTTGGAAGCCAGTTCAATTTGCTCAAAGCAAATATTCTACCTATGCTTTTACCTGGCTTCCAAAAATACATATTTAGTTAAATGAAATTGGCCTGTACAATGCCATAAAATAATAACATAAAAGGGAATGAAGTGTGCGCAACTGACAGCGCAATAACGCCATATGCAGTAGCTGCTTTTCGGATAATAGTAATTTACCCGCGTTTATCACTCGATATTTCACTACTCATTTGCGTTAATTGTGATTGTCTTGCCTTTGGGATCATCAAAGCGATCCATTGTGTTAATATCCATCATCCAGCAAATGGCGACGAAAAGAATTGCAAGTAAAATTAACGATACAAATAACCCAGCAAGGATTGCGTGTGTAACAAACCCAACGCAATTCCAAGAGTCACCAAATTCAAAATATTTGTCACCTACTGCTGTAACTTTACTTCCGAAAGGAGCTTGGAATTGGACGGAATTCCAAAGAAGTGAGTCGCCGCTGGTTGAATACACAGTCAAATTGCCGCAATAGTAAGAGAAAGCTGGTGGCGCATTTATATCTGTCGTACGGAATTGTGTATTCGTATTGTACGTCAATTGCTTCATATAATAGTACCCCTTTACTAACTCAATATCGAAAGTGATAGTGTCGGTAGCATCGCTGCTTGCAAGTGTGACTGTGAAATCAGTGGTGTTACGCTCCTGGATGCTCATGCTGCTAATGGTAATTTCTTTGGCAGCGGCAGTACCGATCTTAACTGCCAGTTTTGTGTAGAAAATCTGAAAGTTAGTATCAGCGAATATAGTACCACCTTCAGGCGCAGCGGTCTCCCAAACAGAAACTGCACGTCGTGAACGTTTATTTACAGACGTCTCTTCTACGGGTGTAGCTGTATACAATAAGATTGTAGGGCAAGACAATTGCTTAATGATTTTTTGAATGATGAAATCTGTGAACAAACATAGAAAACCGTGCTAAAAGATATTGGCTAAACCGAAGTTAATATCAGACTGACCATGTGCTTCCAAAGTATCCTCGCGGCTTAACTCAGTTTCTTCACTGAATTGAAAGATATAGACCTTGTGAGCTTCACATTTAAGAGGCGTTTCAAGATTACCATCTTTAGGGATAGAAATCACAACATAATTCGGATCTATTGACGCCAATACTTTATCGGAAAGGTCTCCTTTAGCATAGAATGTTTTTGGGGTGATTGAGCTTAAGTGAGCATAACATGACTGTGACTCCGTGCCGTTTTTCTTGCACAAAAAATCATGGAAAGATAACTAAAGTTTATACAACGGTTAAATCTGTAGATATAGATAGAATTGTATGCACTACTTACACCAGGTTCTTGGAACACAACAATCTGGTTGTTTTCGGCCAGGGGTTTCAGAATGCTATAGAATTCCTCGGATGTAACTTTTGACAGCGCTGATGGCGTTAGGCTATTGAAAATAATCACATTAAAGTTGGAGATAAAGTTATGACGAATCTTCGTACCTCTGCGCTCCACCCAGTAAGACGGGGTTGTACTTCGCAGCTGCTGCAACACCAATTAGGAACAACGTCAGGAATACAAACTTCATTTTCACTTTTTTTCCAAAACTCTGTACTTCAAAGAAGTAATAATCCAAACAAAGTTGAAGTGAAAACGCGAGCAAACCGAAAATTTAACGAAATTATAAGGGAGCTAATGGCAAAAATCCAAACGTTTCAACTCCAATGAAAATTCGCCCTGTCAAAATGCGAAATTCTTTGTAGCTGCATATGACAGTCATGTGATATATTCGAATGGCACCTATTTTCGAATTTCGAGTAGTGATTAGAGACTCGAACTCGTGATGCGCAGTGTTGCATCTAGGTATGCAATTCACACAAAAATTAAAACTACTTCATACTTTCGATGTCATATGGTCTTATTCATAAAAAATATTATACTGGGTAAAACTCGCAAGTTTACGAGGCTTTTATGGGAACGTCCCCTTTGTGAAAAGGTGTAAATAATTGCGTAAAGTTGCTGTTTGACAGATCAGCCAGGATTTCGTGGAGCAATTTTTGTTTCGTAGTATTTTCCATAACTTACGGCCATCTTGTCTAACACTTTTGGCTAAAATGCAATTAAAAATGCCGAAAATTCGCAAAAAATCCTAAGTCAATGCAGTTAGTGGATGAAATTCATTCATATTATTCGCTTATTATTTTTTTCATTTATTTTCATTATTTTATTATACATTTTAGTATAAAAATTTCAGCCCCACGGCAAAACTGAAGTTTACGAGGTCGTTTGAGCATCAAATTCGCCTCGTAATTTTACGAGGGGCAGGTAAAAACAAATTTTGACAGTTCCTTCACGAGGCTCGTAAATTTACAAGTTTAAGAGAAGACCCATACTAATGTGACGTCGTTATTTTACTTGCTGTCTCCACAGGCAAAAGTTTTTATCTCGATAATGGCAAGCAATAATTAATATATCAGAGCTTTTAGCTTGATAAATATTGCCAGCAATTTGGTACTTTGACAGCTTCCTTTTTAATTTGCGCGATTGCTTCGTGGAGACAACGTTATTCATATTTCAATAGAAAAGAAAAATTAAGCCCTTTTCTATTAAAATATTTGTTATTATTTGCTTGGGAGTGAAATGTGGCATGTTTTTTTTTTTTTTTTAATTTTTTAAGTGATAAAATCCGGCAAAAATAGCCACCTTACAAATGCGTTTTTTATCAAGATTGAAAAGTGTCCACGCACAAATATTGCCTCTGATAAAATTTTTATCAGGCAATAAAAATGACAGTTGGTAGGCAAAAACTTTTACCTGTGGAGACAGGCCTAGCTTTGATCCAGTACTCCATGAACTTACATGTTTTGACACAAACTTGCAGGAAGTTAAAGGGAAAAATTATCCCGTACTCCAAAATCCTGTAAATGAGCGTGTTGTGTGGAGAGTTGTGTAGAGAATTAAGTTGCAAGATTTTACCCGAAATGTTTCTGCTGGTAAAATCATGAAAAGTGTAAAGCGATCACTGGTTGGCGTTTTTACAGGAAATAAACTGTCATCTTAGTTTTTGCGTATGAAAACGCTAAAACATGAAAACTTGTAGCAATCGTTTCGAACTATTGCGTAAAAAAAAAAATCAGAACTAATGTTTTCAGGCTTTGTGGCAACATTGGCTGTTATCAGCTGAACGAAAGCATGCAAAGCTTTGGAACAGGTATAAACTGATAACCAAATTAGTAAACAAAATGTATTAAAAACAGCGGTATGCGTGTTCAAAGAAAGTGGTGTCGAATGCTGAAAAATAGCTGGAAACGGATTCGACGGCGGCGTTTGCTGCTCTTCTTCGTTATAGTGGTAATTACTTTATGTTTATTTAAACTGGTAAGTCAATTCATGTTAAGTTGTTTTCCATTCACATAAGTTATTTTCTCTTTATAGCGAAATATTTCCCCTAAACCTTTGCCGTACTGTGAATCAATTGATGTGGTCTATACTTGGGTCAACGGATCTGACCTTGAATTTACTGAAGACGTACGACGATATAATCCCTCGTATGATCCTGCACGATTCGATGATAAAAACGAACTTCGATATTCATTGCGATCACTTGAAAAGTNTGTTAAGTTGTTTTCCATTCACATAAGTTATTTTCTCTTTATAGCGAAATGTTTCCCCTAAACCTTTGTCGTACTGTGAATCAATTGATGTGGTCTATACTTGGGTCAACGGATCTGACCTTGAATTTACTGAAGACGTGCGGCGATATAATCCCTCGTATGATCCTGCACGATTCGATGATAAAAACGAACTTCGATATTCATTGCGATCACTTGAAAAGCATGCCCCCTGGGTGCGACATATTTATATAGTCACCAATGGTCAAATTCCACATTGGCTTGATCTTAGCAACGAAAAAATTACGATAGTACCACACGAAGTACTCACACCAAAGCCCGAACTGTTACCCACATTTTCTAGTTCCGCCATAGAAACATTCATTCACCGCATACCACAATTATCACAACGCTTTCTCTATTTGAATGATGATATATTTTTGGGTGCACCAGTCTATCCGGAGGATCTGTATACTGAGTCGGAAGGCGTGCGTATTTATCAAGCCTGGATGGTGCCCGATTGTGCTGAAGATTGCCCCTGGACGTACATTGGTGATGGTGCATGTGACCGGCATTGCAATATTGCCAAATGTCAATATGATGGGGGTGATTGCAGCATTTTTGGAACAGGCACAAGTGAAGAAAATGTATCTGAACATGATGCAGACGAACATGAAAAATCGAATAACTTAAAATCTAACCAAATAAATGCAACAGCACGTAATGAAATACGACATTTTCCATTACGGAAAAAATTTCGCAACAAGAAACATTCCGCTCAACGGAATGGCTCACATTTCCGAGAGCTGGTGCGACATAAGAACCTGAGTACACTTGCTGAATTAAGACGCATTGTCGACAATTACAATAACCAAATAAAATCAATCGCTCACCCAAATGTACAAATACTTTCAAATTCTAGCCCTGTTCCAACAACTAGGCATACAGATGAATTTGTTAAACCGTCAAAAAACGAAACTAGCAAGGACATCTACTCACACTCTCTCATAAACACCAATATGCTGCTGAACCGACACTATGGCTTTAAAGCGCGCAATGTAATGGCGCACGTGGGATTCTTGCTTGATCAGAATATAATAAATGAAATGCAGAAAAAATTTGCTAAGGAGATAGACGTTACTATTACTAATCGTTTTCGATCAATGGAAGACTTACAGTTTGCTTTCGCTTATTACTCATTTCTGATGAGTGAAACCATAACGTTTACCGTGGGACAAATATTTGACGAATTTGACACTGACGGCTCGCATACATGGTCTGATCGGGAAGTACGAACATTTTTGGCACGCATGTATCCTCTACCATTGGATTGGTCAGCGGTTCGCTTCTTCGAAGAAGTAGTTGGCAACTGTTCGCGTGACTTGGATGTTTCACACAAAAGTACTGAAGAGTATACAACTCTCGTTTATGAACGTTACGAAGATTCCAATGTGGTTAGTATAAGTGCAGCATCCATACTTTCATATTTGTAAGTTACTTATGCACCCGTTTTTCCCTCCAGCCGACCATATCTCGTGAGTTGGTCGAACACTGTCATTTGTTAGCCGAGGCGCTGGAATCAAATTTTGCTAGACGCCCTAAATACAAATATAACATAAATCCAAAACGTGCAATCCATAATAATTTTATGATGCTAACTTCCAATATCTCAGAAGTTGTTGATGGATTCGATAAAATTCGGCGCAATCCAAGGTAAACTACCAAAATTAACTGAAACTTTGCACATATATACATATGTATATTCTATGCATATAAATAAACATCATATATTTCAGAAAATTTAACTGCATTAATGACAATTTAGAGCCTAAGCACGCTGAAGATAATGAATTAATACGGCATTTATTGGAGGACTTCTACCTTTCCCTGTTTCCTCGAAGAAGTAACTTTGAATTACAATATGAATATCGAAATCGTTACACTACGTGGCACGATTACCAACGCTGGCGGAGACGTAAACGTGCTGCCCTAGTTGTCGGATATTTAGCGAGCGGTGTTCTTATTATATTTATTATTCGATTTGTTTGCATACACAAGGCAAAAATTGTACGTCGCTATGTGCAAAACCTGTAATGTGATATTTTTTAAATAAGAGGAAAATGTACTTAATCGCATTTTGTAATAACTTACTTATTACAATCACTGAGATTTGGAATGCGCATACATACCTAGTGTATGATAAACACAAAAGTCAAACTATATATAAACTAAATATATTTATAATATGTACATATGTACATATCTAGGTATTAATGAATCTTGAATCAAACTTGAAACAAAGCAATGATATTAGATGAGAGACTTGAAATACATTACTGAAGCTTTTATCTTACATCTTATTTTCTAGCTTCGGCTAAAAAATCCCGAAAAAGTCAAACGCCTTTCATTTGTTCTGCAGCGGGGGCACGGTTAAAAATGGGGAAGGCAACGCCCGTAAAGTTTCATAAGTAACGAATCTATTGGGATGCCAGCAACAAACAAGGCTTGACCATTTACTGAAATACAATTACATAACGTCGTTTAAAGTACAAAACCGCGTATCGTCATTCTGCAAAACCGCGTAACTGACATTGGCTGCCAAAAATTGGATTTGCTCACTCAAGCTCTTAGCTCAATCTTTATCCATTCGTCCTGAAATATACTAGCCAGAAATGCGATTGCTTTATAAAAAAATGCGAACCATTTTGAAATATGAGTGTTTTTACTCTCTAGAAAATAATTTATACAACCTCACATACGCGGTTTTACATTATCTTGATACGCGGCTTTGCATTTTGGTGATACGCGGTTTTGTACTTTAAACGACGATAAGTTGTCGCAAAAGACAACCACCTGCTGAGGGTGTTACAGGCGAGAAAGTACCATTAGATAGGCTCCAAATTCGTTTCCCCTTTAATACTAGAAACGCTTTTTATTGTGGTCTTCGCTCGGCAGTTAAATCCACATACCTTAAAAGCAATCTGAATTTTAAAGGCGGTATAAAATAATGCATATCGTCGTTTTAATTACAAAACCGCGTATCGTCGTTCTGCAAAACCGGCGTAACTGACATTTTTTGCCAAAAATTGGATTTGGAAGTCCTTGGCTCAAGCCTTATCCATCCGTCCTGAAATATACTAGCCAGAAATGCGATTGCTTTATGAAAGAGAGAATAGTTTTGAAATATTCGTGTTTTTACTCTCTACAAAATAATGTATGCAACCTCACATACGCGGTTTTGCATGATATTGGTACGCGGTTTTTTACTTTAAACGACCATATGGACGCGACACAAGACGACAAATAAAAGAAACTATTTCAAAGAATGCACGCCAATTGTATTTCTTATTTTAGAAGAACTCTGCTTCTTTGAATCGCATACATTTACGATTTAGATGTTATAGACAGTTAAATAAAAAAAATATTCTTTGATTTAAATAGACTTACCTCAACGTTTAATGTGGTACGCTGTTTAAAGTATAATTAGCACCGATATGAACACCCGCAATCTCAGACATATGACTTAATATGATCTTATAAAAGCGCAAAACTTGAAATTTTCACCAGCGCTATCACTTCTTCGATGATCTTCACACAAGGATATGAAATAACGGGATGCAAGAAACATCGATTTCGATATCTGACGGAAATGAAATCCGATACCTATTTCATTTGATGCCGCCAATTTCTGTCGTATTGGCTTTAGCTTTGTTTCTTAACAAATAATTATCACAAATTATCACTAATTTCTGCTGGAAAGCGATTATTAGCCCAAAAAACTAGCAGAAACCACGATGTAGAGAAGAAAGGTGGCGCCCATCTCGGTACCGCTGTTCCGCTCTCAGAGAATTTTACAGAAGTGTCACACTTGTGCACTTTGTTTACGTTTTTCTTGCAATAATAGGTGCAATCCCGTATTCCTCGGACTCGGACTAGTAAAACTGTCAAAAAATAAAAATTTGCTCAGAACGAGAGAGTAACATTGAAAAGTACGGGATCGCTTTCTAGTAAAAAATGGTAACTTCTGTCAACTTCAACATAACCTCCAAATTTCGGTTGTAAATTTTTGCTTATTTTGTATGTAAACACACTCAGCTCACACATGTAAATAACCAAAAATACTTTCAAATTCATTAGAATCCTCTTAAACAAGTAATTAAATACTTTTCAACATGAATTAGCAGAGTGCACTTTTCTTTTGTTTACAATTTGGTTGCCAAACACACTACAGCTGATCGTTTGACACATTTACCAGAATTTACCAGCAAAAAATTCTCGGACTAAGTCCTCTTTCAGACACGTCAAGTCTTGAAAGCAAATTTCACCTTCTCTTTTGTGTTTTCTATTTGCTTCCACACGCGTCAACTTTAATTGAATTCAAGTCCTTGGTTCTTAAATGGGAAGCAACGAAAATATCAAAAGAGACAAGAAAACTTGAAACGAATAGACGGTACTCTTCCCCTCTCTTCCCACCTCCTTCGCCAACGAACGAGCAGACTTGAAATCAAGACTTGACGTGTCTGAAAGGGGACTAAAACTGGTAACTTCTGACGGAGAGAACGGTATTTACTCTCTTTTTTGTCCTCTCAATAGTCAGAGAACCGTGTACGGGATCGATTTCCAATAAAATCTGATTGATTCTGATTAGTCCGGACTCGTACGGGATCGCAACTAATAATTGCGTTTGTTTACTCATTTCCAGTAAAATCCAGTAAAATTTTTTACGAATTTTCATCTTTTGGCGTTCCGTACACAGCAGATAATTATCAGGAAGAAGAAGACTAGGAAAATTGAGAGGATGACGCTAGCAGAGAGCGAAATAACGAAAAAGTAAAGAAACGCAAAACTAGCAAATAAACAGGTGACCGGTGCATTTGACTAATGAAAATATTTGGCGCGAATTTTTGTTTATTCATTTTGACAGCTGCTAGTAAAAATTTTACTAGCAAAAAGTTTCAGGAGAGCCAAACCATAATAGTGTAAGAACGAGAGAGGGCTGATAGTTTATGCTAGTTTTTTCTGTTAAGGACCGCTGTCCAGCAGGAACTAGTGATAATTTTTGATAGTTATCTGTTACCAGCCGTCTTCACGGGCTGGAAAATTCCACTTGTGTGACGACACATGCTCTTTAATTATTGAATCATGTAAATTTACGATAGCGGTTAAAGGTTAAACATAAAGGGCGAAGTACACTACGCAAGCGGCTCGTCAAACATACTTCAAACCTACCTTTCCCATTTCGCCATATACCATGCAAACATGACTCGTTGAAGCAAAGATTTTTAGTTTTCTTCTAGGCGACATACACCGTGCGTCGATCTCGTGAGTCGGTTTGGATGTATTTGTGAAAATAAATATGTGTTAGTTACACCGAAATGACTCCTGGAATGACTCTGAATGATTCAACTGTGTGTAGTCGAAGGCGAGTCAACACGTACACAAATGACTCGCGAGTCAGACGCACCGTGTATACCGCTTATTCCGTTCACAAGGTTAGTAATTATGATTTTCTTCCATTTTTCTCTCTTTCGCAACCTCTCGAAGAAAATTCCGTTGCAAATGAGGCGAATTTATCATTCACAACGCAAGCGGTTTGGTTAAACGTGAACATGGCGGCCAGAAGATCAACAAATTTTGATTTTTGTTCGAATTTCCCTCAAATGGTTTGTCAAACACTCTTCAAACACCCCCATACACAACACAAATTGCTTCCAGCAAGGGATATTTCGCTAGGCTTTTCAAATTGCTTGTTTGTGTATTTCGATCTCAATGTGCAGTTTAGAATAGGCAGCTTTGGAATGGGCCCTAAAATTGTTGTCGAAAACAATGCAATCGATAGTGACGCAAAATGGTATCGGTGGGTTGCTGTTTCCATTATTAGCATTTTAAAAGACGGGAAAGCTTTATTTTGGTTTGATAAAGTATTTACCGTAGTTTAAAAAATGTTTCCAAAATCCAACACAGGTTTACGAGTGAGACCAAATCGAGGTGAAACCTTACCTTTTCCGCAATTCGAAAAACCCAGACCGATTGGATATTTTAGTGTAGTAGGAGGAACTTTACGAGAATATGAACCTTCAGCACAGCAATTACGCTATTACAAGCCGCCAGCAGCTAAAAAATTCCCTCTTGACCTCAATGAAGGCCTGCATCTAGCAATTAAAAAGCCCGAATCAGTTTATGACGAGGGGCTCGATCATATTTTCAAATTTATTTTCGACCATCGGGACCGTCTCACTAAGCCATTGACGGCTTCTGAAACTTCTCAACGAAGTCTTAATGCCGAGTTTGTTTGCTGGCGCGGGCTTTTACGTTTATTAATGAGTACACCCTATGAATTCAGAAGTGATTGGTCTATTGTGGTTACACGTTTCAATGGGACCTTCTATCTGCGCAAGCGTGACACAGAGCAGGAAAAATTTCAACGTGCCCAAGAAACTGAGCAACAGCGAGTATTTGCTTCCTGGGGCTTTAAATTTGAACAATACTGTCTATCGGGTGGGTAATCAAATGGAATACAGCAATTTTTTAACTAGCAATCACCTTTAGAATCACCATTTCTCGAACCGAACGACAAAGGGCCTGTTGATGAGTGCAGCGAATTTTCTTGTGTATTTAAAACAAAACTTGCCGGCTTTGAACTGCTCTATGGTGCTGAAATGGATGGAATTATTAGTGAACAACCCGTTCTTCTGTAAGTGCCTCAAAGTATTTGTTACACCAATTTTCAATGTAATGTAGTAATAATCTTCAGAGAAGGGGATAAAGCTACTTGTTTGGAAAATTTGAAATTCATCGAAGTAAAAGTACGACAGGGAAACTTGAACAGAAATCAAATTCAGTCTTATAATCGTCATAAAACCCGCAATTGGTGGTGCCAATCATTTTTAGTTGGTATTCAAGACATCTACGTTGGACTGCGGAATGAATATGGTCTGGTAGACCGCATCGAACACACTGAAGTGCGCTCTCTGCCCAAGCAAGGAATGGTATGACGTTAGATTCCATTAGTTTGTAAAAAGTTTTAAATTATATTTTCATTAATAGAATCATTGGACACCAAATATGTGCGTTACGTTTCTAATAGAATTTTTTAATCGCGTACGTTCATTAATGACCGATGTGAACTGTCCATATACAGTTTTTGAATTTTACTTTAACTCCAATCGGGGCACCATAACATTTGAAAACATAAAAGGCAAAAGCGAGCATTCCTTTTTGCCAGACTACTTCATAGAGCTTATGCATCCTAAGCCGCCGGTAATCAATGAAGAACGAATAAATTTACAGAGAGCGGACACGGTTACCGTAAACATTTGAAATATGTATGTACGTACATATGTAGTGTTAGGTAATTAAGTCCTAAGTTTAAATAAAACGCTGATTTTAAGTTATTTCTATGTTTTATTGAAATAAAAAAAAAGAAATGTTTTGATCGCCTTTTATAACGCTTAAGTGAATGAAATAAAACTNATAAAACGCTGATTTTAAGTTATTTCTATGTTTTATTGAAATAAAAAAAAGAAATGTTTTGATCGCCTTTTATAACGCTTAAGTGAATGAAATAAAACCTTTTAAGCGCCTGCTATTAACGACCTTAATAAAAGTAGAATCTTTAAATGTGTATAATGGAAAGTTTGCACATGGATACTCCTAAACTTTTTTATATACCGACTTCCAACAGCTTACTATTTACCTCACTTTCACGCCGTAATTCAAACTAATTTCAGCTTTAACTTCTACAGTTCGGTCTTCTTAGGTTTGCCACTACGGTCAAATCCTTTGAGTTCATTTGTAGCATGTTTAGCAATATACTTGATGAAGTCATCTACGTCACGGCCCTCGTTGTAAGCAACGGGTGTATCCTTTGAATCTTTAGGCAACCAGAAAAGTGTTGGGAATCCTCGAACGTTGAACTCAGGTGGTACATCGTTGGCAGTGGCATCCATTTTGACAAGCTCTACGTCTTCATTAAGCAATTTTTCAGCCACTTCGTCATATACTGGTGCCAATTTTTTACAGTGTCCACACCAAGGTGCGTAGAATTCCACCAATGTGTCTTTGTTATTATTTATGACGACTTCATCAAAGTTTTTGGCAACCGCAACTTTTACGGGAGAATTATTACTCTCTGGAATGGGTTCAGACTTCACGTACGGCTCAAGTTCACCATCAAGCAACTTTTCAACAAAGTCTCTGAGATTTTCGACGGAGAATTCTTCCTTCAGTGCATATTTGAGATTCTTTTCATCTCGTGCTAGAATTACTGGTTTTTCGCCAACAAAATCATAACCATATTCATTCAATTCATTTTGGAAATCGTCCTTAGCACTAACAGCGAATGTAGCTTTGTTGGAGAACTCTTTTGCCACTTTGAGGACACGATTGCGCCAATAATTCGTACCCTTGGCATTCTTAACGTAGTCAACAGAATAGTAGGCAACAATAAGTGGATTTTTGAAATCACGTACAGAGTCCTGTGTACGATGACCGACCAAACCATGGCTATAAAAAATAATTTACATCTTACGAAACGTTCTTTTAAACAAAAATNGCACTAACAGCGAATGTAGCTTTGTTGGAGAACTCTTTTGCCACTTTGAGAACACGATTGCGCCAATAATTCGTACCCTTGGCATTCTTAACGTAGTCAACAGAATAGTAAGCAACAATAAGTGGATTTTTGAAATCACGTACAGAGTCCTGTGTACGATGGCCGACCAAACCATGGCTATAAAAAATAATTTACATCTTACGAAACGTTCTTTCAAACAAAAAATATTATCAAAAACTTACAAATTCTCTTTAATGAACGCACTCAAGTCAGATTCAGATGATCCCTCGAACTTAACATTCGATTCCTCAAATTTGTTCGCTAGATGTGGGGCACGGATGAGAACAATTTTTTCACTGTGTAGCATAAATGAAAAAAAATGTAATANTTATTATCAAAAACTTACAAATTCTCTTTAATGAACGCACTCAAGTCAGATTCAGATGATCCCTCGAACTTAACATTCGATTCCTCAAATTTGTTCGCTAGATGTGGGGCACGGATGAGAACAATTTTTTCACTGTGTAGCATAAATGAAATAAATGTAATTTTTAAATTATATTAAATATAATAAAAATAGTTTATTATTTAGAATATATGTACATAAAATATACTAGATTATAATTACAGAAGATTGTAAAAAAGTCTTGAATCAGTCTTCGTTTTTTTTTTTGTTTTCTTCTCTTTCTCACTTACGTTTCTCCATATTTGGCAAGCACGTCAGCATCGCTGCTATGACCAAAACGATATTTCTCGCGATTTTTATCAGCAAATTTCAGGAACAATTTAGCTAGAGCTACATCTGGATCTTCAAAGAATCCAAATACAGTTGTGTCCTTCGTATCAAGGAATTTGGTAAATTCATCGACTGATTTTATATTTCTAGAGGCAGGTCCGACTTGAGCTCTCATATACTTCACAATACCATTTGCCTCGCGAGGTCCACTGTAATCTTGCGAAACGGTATCGCCACGGAATATCTTCAGTGTGGGATAACCACTGACAGAGTACTTACTGCATGTCTCTTTTCCGGCTTCTGTGCAGTCAACCTGTTCAATTGTAATAACAGATATGTACATTTTCAAAGCAAAAAGTATTATATGGTCTCACTTTTGCCAAAGCAATAGGGGGATCATCATCTTTCACAACTTCAGCTGCTTTGGCATACTCTGGTTTCAGTCTTTTACAATGCCCACACCTAAAATAAAAAAAAAAAACATGCAATGAATATGTTGTTTTCTGTACAAGTACTAAGTGAAATCGGAAAAAATGCTTGTAAAGAGAAACGATCTTATCGAATTTTTGTGTACTTCATGTACCATAAATTAACTAGTGCCAAAAAAACNTTCACAACTTCAGCTGCTTTGGCATACTCTGGTTTCAGTCTTTTACAATGCCCACACCTAAAATAAAAAAAAACATGCAATGAATGTGTTGTTTTCTGTAAAAGTACTAAGTGAAATCGGAAAAAATGCTTGTAAAGAGAAACGATCTTATCAAATTTTTGTGTACTTTATGTACCATAAATTAACTAGTGCCAAAAAAAAGNGCAATGAATATGTTGTTTTCTGTACAAGTACTAAGTGAAATCGGAAAAAATGCTTGTAAAGAGAAACGATCTTATCGAATTTTTGTGTACTTCATGTACCATAAATTAACTAGTGCCAAAAAAAGTTATGCTAGCTAGAACAAGTTCTTATCTCTATTTGTTAACCTTATCGCAATTTGACTGCGCTTTGTTTAATGAATTCTGAAAAGTTAATGTGCGTATGTTAAACCTCTTCCTGTAAGTGTTTTAAGAGTATGGAACAAAACAATGCGATAATTAGAGTTAGAGAGAATTGCACTCTACCATTTTAGAATGGCAAAGCAAGGCCTCTTTATTTCTGAACCCAAACTGGACATTGCAATCTACAACACTTAAGGAACAAAATATACTGATGCTTTGTATTTTGGAATTCATGGTGTTCCATNAAAACAATGCGATAATTAGAGTTAGAGAGAATTGCACTCTACCATTTTAGTATGGCAAAGCAAGTCCTCTTTATTTCTGAACCCAAAAGATGGAACTGTCCAAATTGCGCAAACTGGACATTGAAATCTACAACACTTAAGGAACAAAATATACTGATGCTTTGTATTTTGGAATTCACGGTTTTCCAANGAATGGCAAAGCAAGGCCTCTTTATTTCTGAACCCAAACTGGACATTGCAATCTACAACACTTAAGGAACAAAATATACTGATGCTTTGTATTTTGGAATTCATGGTGTTCCATTAATACAACAATCGTTAAGAGTATTAATGAAGTGTTCTATTAGCTATTTTGCAACTCAATAGATTCAGTAATTTTGAGAATAATTTCACGAATCCGTTCAAACATTTTTTAGAATATAACCAAATAAACAGATATTGACCGGATATCCGGAAAACAAAAAGGAACGAATATTAGCCCTGTTCCCATACAACAGGATATGCAGGTGGTTGGTTTTAGAGAAAATCAGCTTTAGGTGTTTTAGCCATCTATCAACAATTCCCTCAGAAAACTTGACGGGGATTTTAAGGAACGATGTATTGATATATACATATGTACTGACGCCACCTTAAGTTTGTTTTACAAGATTTTCTAGAGGAAACAATGATTACCCGGTTTAATCTCTTTTAATTCACCAACACGGCTTATTGTGCCGCTCTTTATTCATCCTTTCTGAAAGGAATGTCATGGAATGAAGAAAATACCGAAAACGTGGAGACTTTCCACAAACAAAATTAAAAATGGCTCCCGAAAAAGGTGACGTGTTATAAAAAACTTTGCCAGTAGCAATGACCTTTTAAAACCATAAATATATTACCTCACAAAACAAAATCCCAACTTACCATGGCGCATAAAACATAACCAATGTGGTTTCATGTTCTTTTAACACAGAATTGAAGTTGTCATCCGTCAATTCCAGCACATCTTGTTCTGCGCCAGCAACCAATGCCACATAGAGGCAGAGAACCGCTAAACACCTATGCATTATATCTTCACTTTACTGGATGCTCGTTGTTTTGTTATAATTACAATTTCAATTGTTGATCACGGTTTGTTAATCTGCTGGTTAAAATAATACTATAGGTAAAAGGATTAACTCCACGCGCATCTACCGGCTTTGGATGATGAACGCAAAATAATTGATTTCTAGTGTAGAGTTGTACGTATGTATGTATCGCCTACAGTGCTACCACTGTCGTGCATTTCTTGCACAGGAACGAAAAGCATTTTATTAAAAATCGGTCTATACTGATGTGCTTTAATACATAAATGTGCTTTAATACAACGCTGAAAAATTATATATTTTTGATAATACTAGATATTGCCTTTGAAAAAAGTATTTAATACAATTAAATATTTTGTCATTAATTTACTAAGATCTGGCAGGGACATTCTCATTGACTTTGTGTTGGCTACCTCTGATTGGCTATTATTTTTTGGAGAAAATTACTTTCAATCTGATGAATTCGCAAATTTTGCAACAATAACTTTTTTTATGAGGAATGTTCCTTTGTTGACTAAAATATTTTATGTTGATATACACTTATTCAAAGAGTATACGAATATTCGGTAGCATGGGAAAAATGGAAATATACACATGTAGTGCAATAAATACTCTTATCTCTACACCTGTGTAATTTTATTTGTTTTTAACATTTTTACCAAGGCGTATCAATTATTGAATCATAATTTTTACTGAGAAATGCTTTCAGAACGCACCAAGTTAGCAGTATCAGGGTTATTTTGATTTTCATTCGAAGTGGCCCATGAATTGTGATTTTTGTTTAAATATTGTTCTAAAATATCAAATTTTGTTTATTTTTTTTTTTGACATTTTACAGTACGAAGCCAACAACAAAATACACACAGTTTGTTGTTTTTCCTCTAATGCTGCTCCCTTTTTAATGTGCCTTGGAACACACCAGCTCTGATCCAGTACTCCATGAACTTACAGGTTTTTACAGGAACTTGCAGGCAGTTACAGGAAAATGATCCCGTACTCGCAAATTCCTCCAAAACCCTGTAAATGAGAGCGATTTTTGGAGAGTTGAGTAGAGTATGAAGTCGCAAGGGCAGGAAAAATGCTTTTTTTGTTCCCATACTTTTTGTTGTTACTCACTTTTGACTCTCACTTCAGAGAGTAATTTTGCTGTTAGATATTTTTACAGGATTCTACACGAAAAGTATTGATTAGATAGTAAGATTAGAGCTAATATCTAAAAAAAAGAAACGGCAAAAAAGTTCTACTAAGCGTAGAAGTTATTGACCAAAACGCTTTGAAATACTAAAATGGCATTTATACGCAGGAATTCATTAAATTCAATGCATATTTTGCCATTTTTTTTACTTAATTTTAATAACAATGCTTGCAGGAAGTTGCAGGAAAAATGATCCCGTACCCCAAATTCCTGGAAATGAGAGCGATTTTTGGAGAGTTGTGTATAGACTGAAGTTGCAAGATTTTGGCACTGATCCAGTACTCGATGAACTTACAGGTTTTTACACAAACTTGCAAGAAGTTACAGGAAAAATAATAGCTCTGATCCAGTACTCCATGAACTTACAGGATTTTACACGTAATTGCAGGAAGTTGCAGGAAAAATGTTCCCGTACTCCAAAATCCTGTAAATGAGAGCGATATTTGGAGAGTTGTGTAGAGAATGCAGTTGCGAGATTTTACCTGAACTTTTTCTTCTGGTCATGAAAAGTGTCAAGCGATCAAGCAAAATTACTCTCTGAAGTGAGAGTAAAAAGTGAGTAACAACAAAAAGTACGGTAACAAAAAATTCATTTTTCCTGTAAAAACGTCAACCAGTGATTGCTTGACACTTTTCAGGATTTTACCAGAAGAAAAAGTTTGGGTAAAATCTTGCAACTTCATTCTCTACACAACTCTCCAAAAGTCGCTCCCATTTACAGGATTTTGGAGAATTTTGGAGTACGGGAACAGTTTTCCTGCGACTTCCTGCAAGTTCGTGTAAAATCCTATAAGTTCATGGAGTACTGGATCAGAGCTATTGGATCAGAGCCATGGTACAATAAATATAGGTATTGTCTTCCCAGAGAGCGCATATTCCGATCTGCCTTATTTAAAAAATATCATTGTTGCCAACATAAAACGTTTACTGCTAGGGAAAAGGGATATTATTTAAATAAATCATCTTGCAGAGAACTAATTTAATTTGCAAAAGCCGGAAAAAACTTTTGCTTTTAAATAAATTCAAAAATTTTTATGGCTCACTCCATTTCAAACGAATTTCGATGTGAAGCAAAACTCTCTGGGAAGACAATACCTGTAATTATTGTACCATGGAGCAGAGCTACCTTTTAAAACAAAAATCTCTCCAATGCTTAGTTTTTTTTTCAGTGATCTGGCAGCAATCCACACGCATGTCACGACTTCGTGCGTGAGTAGGCACGAACAGTTCCCATACGAATCTTGAATAGTTTAATAAAACCTTGTGCGGACTTAAGCGTTGTGAATTTTATTGTAATAACTGGACTGTAAACTTGGATTAGCCATGAGCAATAAGAGGAAATTGGAAATAGAACTCGATCTCAAGAGCAACGATAAAAGATACTCGTTTTTTACTCCTACCTCTGTGCGCAGTTCTGTATGGAAGCACTTTCAAGTAATAAAATTTTTGGATACTGTGGAAAGCTTTGCACGTTGTAACCATTGCGAAGAGATTTTGTCGTATGCGCCGAGGAGCGGTACTGGCAGCCTGTTACGCCATCGTTGCATGCGTGCAAGAGCAATTAGTTCGCCAAAACATCTACCGGCACCACAAAGTGTTTCAAGCTTTATCCGTAGCATGTTGCCTAGTAAGACAAAGGAAGATATATTGAAATCACAGTTGGAATTTATCTCAAAAGATTTAATATCTCTTAATACTACGGAAGGTATGTAAAATTCCAGCCATTAAAAATCAATTCATTGCATTTCCTAAAAGTGAAGTACATAACGTCCATTGCGCCACCGTCACCATCACCAGCACCGTCAGTTGTCAAAAAAGTTGAACTGGTGTATTTGTATGAAGTAAGTTACATGAACAAAGCTGACGGTGACGGTGACGCACAAAATAGGTCAACTTTCAACATTGCGTATGCTTATGCGTCAAGTGAGCTATTCTGTGTTTTGTTTACATATTTTAACTAAAATTTGTTCAGTTTGTGAAAATTTTCCGATTTATTTAAATAAGAAATGTAAAATAGGATAAAAGAAAAGTAAAAACGCAATTTTTGCAAAGAGCAGCAGTGAGTTACTGATTTTACGGGCGCAATGGTGTACGGATAGTGTGTAACATGCCGCATAAGCACCGTTGCCGCTGGAAATGATGGTGACGGTGTCGGTGACGCAATGGACGGTGCAAGGCGAATTTATACAAGGTGGTGTTCAAGGCGAATTTATACAAGGTGGTGTTGATGGCGAATTCAATTTTCGCCGCGGTACTACTGAATGTCAAAATGATGTGTTTGTTGTAAACAAGGCGAATTCATTTTACAACAAACACATCATTTTGACATTAAGACGTACCTCGGCGAAAATCTAAATTCGCCATCAACACCACCTTGTATAAATTCGCCTTGGTTTTTGCTTTTACTGATCAATGGTGCCAGATTGTGGGAAATTTCCCTATTTGAGGGATATTTGGCATCAAAAATTATGAAAAGGGAAAAAAGGGACATTTCATATAAATAAGGGATTTTCTTTTGACGCAGTAATTGTTGCATAGTTGATCAAAATTCACGAATATTCGACATTCTTACTTAATTAATCGTTCTGAAGATGTGATGTGGAGTGAAATGGTATATAATTGTTAAAAAGTATAAGGACAATTTCGAAAATTTTCTTACTTTAACCAACTCAAGCGCTGAGTTAGAAAGAATCTTTTCAGTTGTAACTGGTATTTCATGTAAAAAGCGGAACAAATTATCTGATGAAATGTTAAATAGCAGTGAGTGAGCAAAAAAATGAAAGTGAAAAATTGAATGAGTGAAAAAAATGCAGGAAAAGGGGTTTTTTCTT